CTGCCGGGCGAGGCGGCCCCCGAAGGCCTCGAAGTCCCCCTGGGAGACGTAGCGCAGGTCCTCGGCAGCGCCGCTTATAAGGGCGGAGAGCGTCGGCCGCCCAGGTGGAGGAGGAGGAGGAGGAGGTCGCGGTCGTCGCTCGTTGGTGGTCGCCGTCATGGTCGTGGCCGCGGTCGTGGACGTCGGCGGCGTGGAGGTCGTGGTCGCGGTCGTGGTCGTGGTCGTGGTCGTGATCGTGATCATCGTAGTCGTCGTCGCGGTCGTCGTCGTCGCCATCACCATCATCAGAATCACCACCACCACCACCACCACCACCACCATCATCATCATCATCATCATCAGCAGCATCATCGTCGTCACCGCCGTGGTCATCCTCACCATCATCAATATCACGAGATCCATCGTCACAAGCAGCACCATCGTCATCAGAATGGTCAACGACATCATCATCATCATCATCATCATCATCATCATCATCATCATCATCATCAGCATCAGCATCAGCATCAGCATCTGCATCATCATCATCATCATCATCATCATCATCATCATCATCATCAGCATCATCATCATCATCATCATTATCAGCATCATCATCAGAGTCCCTATCGTCACCATCCTCAACAATAACATCATAGTGGTCGTCTGCATTGTCGGCAGCATCAGCAGCAGCAGCATTATCTGTATCATCAGCATCGTCGTCGTCATCGTCATCGTAGTCGTACCCGTCGTCATCATCGTCATCGTCAGCAGCACCATCATCGTAGTCAGCATCAGCATCAGCAACATCATCGTAATCATCATCATCATCATCATCATCATCATCATCATCATCATCATCATCATCATCGTCATCGTCATCATCACCATCACCATCATCAGCACCAGCATCCTCATCATCGTCAGCAGCAGCATCAGCGTCAGCGCTATCATTTGATAGTCTGCATCATCATCAGCAGCAGCATCAGCATATTCATCGCAATCAGCATCATGTTTAGCATCATCAACGCCATGATCATCATCATCATCACCACCAGCATAATCAGCAGCATCATCGTCAGCATCGTCATCCTCATCATCATAATCATCACCGTCAACAGCATCACTACCATCAGCAAGAGCATCATCCGTATCATCAGCATGATCAGCATCACCATCTCCAACAGCAGCATCATCATCAGCATCAGCATCAGAATCCTCATCATCATCAGCAGCAGCAACACGCTCAACATCATCAACATCGACATCCGCATCATCATTCGCGTCATCAGCAGCAGACCCAGCAGCATCGTCAGCATCATCAGCATCACCATCATCATCATCAGCAGCATCGCCAACACCAACATCATCAGCAACACCAACAACATCAAAAACTACAACCATAACAACAACAACAACAACCACCACCACCACCACCACCACCACCACCACCACCACCACAACAATAACAGCAACAACAAAGCAACGGCACCAACTACAGCAGCACCAACAACCTCAAAAACAACAACAACGACCACCACAACAACAGCAGCAGCAACAACCACAGCAACAAGAGCAACAGCCATACCAACAACAATTGCAGCAACCACCACATGAGCCACAACACAAACAGGAACAATAACAACAATAGCAACAATAACAACACAACACAACAACATCAACAACAACAATCCAACAACAGCAGCAACTGTAGCAACAGCAACAACAGACGCAACAACAACAACAATGATGACCTCAGCATCACCAGCAGCAGCAACGACATCGTCATCATTATCATCATCATCACCACTACCACCATCATCACGATCATCTTCTTCTTCATCAACATCATCATCCTCATCATCATTGTTGTCGTCATCAGCGTCATTGTCATCTTCAGCGTCAGCGCCAGCGTCAGCGTCAGTCCTGTTCACCCTCACCTTCATCATCATCGTCGTCGCCGTCATCACCACCGCCACCACCATCATACTTATAGTGTCATGATCTTCGTCGCCATCGTCGCTGTCGCCGTCGTCCGCACCAACATCTTTATCGTCACCAGCATCGCCTCCTTGCTCCTCATCATCCTCCTCACCCTCGGGCAGACACGCGAAATCCCCGCCCTTTCAGGTCAGAGCTGTAAAACATCAGCGGGGAGGAGGACGTCTGCAGCCAAGTGAATCCCCACGACAGGAGTCACTTCTTCCTCCTCCTCCTCCTCCTCCTCCACCTTCTTTTCCTCCTCCTTTTTTCCCTGCAGACCAGACGCATTGGAAAAAAAACGATTCCTGTCCGCTTCAACGCTTGCCTTCACAGCCTAACCACACCAGGCAAAAAAAGCGGTTGCGGCGGAACCGGTGGATTACCCTACAGGGTCAACGCCAACATCGAAGGCCTCAAATCGAGGATAGGCCGGTACAGCCGAAAAGACGGCAACGAGCGGCAACACGCAACGAAAATGTTACGACTTACGGTCCGCAAGTGCAGAAGGAGGAGGAGGGAGGAGGACACCGAGGAGGAAGGAGGAAAACAAGTGGGAGGATATTAGGCTGCGCGCCAGACTCACCCCGTTCTGGCTCGACGGAGGCAGCAAACACCTACACTCAGAAATCCCACCGAGCGCAACTCCTGTGGGAGTGGCCTGCTCTCCGCCCCCGTCCTCCTTTCTCGTCCTCGCTCCCCCCCGAATGGCTCCGCTGCAGAGCTCGACAGAAGGACGCAAGTTCGTCAATGTCCTCCCGCGTTTTCCGCTCTTCTTCAGTTGCTGGTTCTCCCTCCGGTTTGCGGGGGGGACACCTGTCCAGTTGTTGGGCGGCCAGTGCTATTTGCTCGTCTCGTCAGTGTCCTTCCTCTCCTCTTCCTGCCGCTGCCGCCGCCGCCGCTTTTCCACTTTCCGTCATTGTGATTGTTTGCTTGATTCGCTCCTCCTCCTCCTCCTCCTCCTCCTCCTCCTCCTCCTCCTCCTCCTGCTCCTCCTTATCATCATCAACATCCCCTTCCTCCTCCTCGTTCGTTTTCCCACCACCCTCACTCCTCCTCCTCCTCCTTCTCCTCCATCTCCTCCTCCTTTTCCTTATCATCATCCTCTTCCTCCTCCTCCTCCTCCTCCTCCTCCTCCTCCTCCTCCTCCTCCTCCTCCTCCTGCATACCGTGTCCTTATGGACGACTCCTCCCTGTCGTACCGCCATACATTCCGGTAGGGCGGGCTGGGCGTTTCGCCTGAGACTTCCGCACCACGGATGATCGCAAAGCTCAATTACGCGCAACAGATATGAGGATGAAGCCAAGGTCGACCTCAGAATAGAGCTCTCGCCTAAGCGCTGGGCACACTCGCTCTAAAAGCTTGCAAGAGCTACAAGGATGGAGGGGGTCGGTTTGAGAAGGTTCTCTCGCCTGAGCACCGCTCGCCTCAGCGCCGCGAGCATTCGCCTGAGAAATGCCCAATAGCTACTACAAGGATGGGGGAGGGTTTTTTGTTCGGCGTGGGACTCTCGCCTCAGCGCCGCACACATTCGTGTTCAAAAACTGCCGAGGCTACCGGATGGATCGGTGGGTCCTTTTCAAAACGAAGCTATCGCTCGAGATGTTTGTACGTATACAAAACAAGACTGCAACACGTTCATGGCCAGAGGTGTGAACCTGCGCGGCAGATACGGGATTCGGGACTGGGCGGGCGGCCCTTATTCAAAACGAGGAGATCGCTGGACGCCTCAATGAACTTATGAACGTGCCTTTTCGCTGTCCTGTCCACGCGCTGGAAAGATGCAAGGCAGCTCCGTTTCAAAACGGTGTTCTCCCTGGAACGGTAGGCCCATCGTGTCTGGGGTTTCTCTAAGAGCATTTCTGTAGTGAAAAGGTAGGCGTCTACGGACTTGGGACAGGAGTGTGTACAGTGAGGACGCGCATCAAGAAACCACATCCTTCGGAAAGCTTCACTTCGCGCGGTGCGCGGTGACTTCCCACGGTGCCCTAGGGTGCCCTAGGCTTCCCCCGAAATGCACCCCGCGGCGTCCAAGCTGTATTGCAGGATCGGTGACGCATCCTGGGCTTACTCTGGTGATCCTCCTCCCTCCTCCTCCTCCTCCTCCTCCTCCTCCTCCTCCTCCTCCTCCTCCTCCTCCTCCTCATATTCACATTCAGATTCCCCCTCTTGCATCTTCCTTAACTGGGGGCGCAGACCAATGAAGTGCCCCTGGGGAAAGTCGGGGAGGCCCTTCAGGAGGCCCACGTTGTCACCTTACCTGGGCTTGCAGTGCCCAGGCGAGAGCCCCTCGAAGAAAAAGCTTCACGATGAACCCAAACTTATGCGGCTGCGAATAGCTCAGGGTATGGCCGACTCCTCAGAGGTAGCGCGGCGAGAGATTGAGCGGCGGGGCAACGAAGCGCGAGGGGTGAGGGGTGTGCCACCATGCGGACCTTGCCATTGGGGCCTTCGGTGGAGCTTCCTGTGGGGCCACGATACCGTGCGAAGTGCGTGCCGAAGCAAGGCAGGGGGCGCCATGCGGACTTTGCCATTGGGGCCTTCGGTGGAGCCTTCGGTGGAGCCCCCATGCGGGGCCACGAAACTTTGTGGGTTTCGGAGCCCCCTAGGAGCACGACACGTGTGAGGGGTGTTTCGAAAAGGGCGCTGCGAGGCCATGCGGTCGCGCCCACTTGGCACTTAGATGGAGCTCCCTGGGGTACAAGAGACATGTGAGGAGTCTGTCGATATCGAGGCGACGGCGCCAGACGATCGCGCCAACGAGCCATCAAGTGGAACACCTCACCGGCCACGAAACGTGCAAGAGGTGTGCCCCATGGGGGGCGTGTGCGCTGCGCGGTCGCGCCCGTGGGAGACCGTAGGTGGATCCCCCTGACAGGGGCCACGAAGCGCGTGAGGGGCGTGCAGAATTGGGCACGCGTGCGCTGTGCGGTCGCGCCCGCTGGGACCGCAGGTGGCGGTGTGCACCGTGCGGTCGGGGCCACGGGACCAGCAGGTGGAGCCTTCTCATACGCGGCCACGGGGCGTGCGAGGGGTGTGCAAAATTGGGGGCGGGGGGGGCCATGCGGTCTCGCGGCCACTGGGACCGCACCGGGAGCTCCCTGGGGGGACCACGGAACCTGTGGTGGGCGTGCCGAACTGGATGTGCGAAGAGCAGGGGGAGGATGAGGAGGAGGCACGAGGCACGGTAAGGAGGCAGCGTCTGCTCGCAGACACAGCTCTACCCCAGAAGGAAGGAATAGAGCCCAGTCAGTGACCCCGTTCCAGGGTCCTGCCAGACTCAGGGTGCTTTTACCCCCCAGCAAGCGGTTCAGGACGCGCCGCCTGCTGGGGGCCAAGACATGGGGGTCAGGGCACGGAGGGAGAGACGCACGCGCTGCTGCACGGGATGGCCCCAGATACGTCCCAGGATGGCCTCCAGGTGCCCCCGAAGGCCCCCCAGGGCGACGCCACGACAGCGCTCCAGGAGGGCCCCCAACAGGGCCCCCAACGATCATCCCATTCCCTGCGGAGAACCTATATCTTTGCAGACTTGCCCTTCCAGTCTTACCAGCCTTCACGAAGGCCCTGGAGCGCTCCGCGCACCAAGGAGCGGCACCGGAGACGCTGGCAGGGGGGCCCAGCGCCGATCCGAGAGATCCGCGCGGAACTCCGAGAGCTTTTCTGGCCCGATGCTCTTCTGCTGCAGCGGTCGCACTGGAAAGAGCCTGGAAATGGGCACGACCGAAACTGGGTACGGACAAAAAGGGGTACGGTGCCCAACAGCAAAGGTTGTCCAAAACCGGCACCGGCCGCTGTTGGGTAGGCGAATGCTGCCTCAAAAGGACCACATCCACCGCGGCGGTTGCTAAGGGGATAAGGGGTTAGACGTGGATGCTAAGGTGGGTAACATCTGGCCTAACTTAGCTTACAAGTGGGTTGCAGGTGCCCTACGTGGTTCAGGCGGGTTAGATAACTCCGCGAAGTGGGCAGAGTCCACCTAGCCCAAGTCGTCACCCCCAAACCACTTTGGGCACCTGTAGCCCACTTTGACGCTAAGACAGGCCAAATATAACCCATGTTTGCACCCGCTTCTAAACCCCTCAAACTCTTCCGCCTTTCCTTCCACAACGGGCGACTTCGCCCAGTTTCAGACCTGGTTTTGCAGCGGGCGATTTCGCCTGGCTTCATCCGCTTCTTGTCGGGCGTTGGCAGGATTGGGCTTAGCGGGACCTAATTTGGCGATGTGCACAGGGGGGCGCAACGAGCTCCGCTTTTACTAACTGAAACTGCAGCCACCCGAAGAAGCACCAGCTACCTGCAGATCGGCTCCCTTTACTCAGGGTCCCAACGATATCTGCTTCTAAGCCTCCAAGACATCTGGCCGCTCCAATTATTTCGATGCGTGGGCCCCAGAGGTCTGGACCACTCCCTTGGGGCCGGCTTTTTGTCATGAGTCGTTTCTTGACGGTCCCGAGGCCCAGTGAAGACCTCCAGAGGCCGAAAACTGTCAAAAAAACAGTCGCCAAAACTTTGTTCGCAGCGTCGGATCTCGGGACTCCTGTCCCCCCTGTGCGAGGCAGGGGTTCATGCATATCCACCGCCTGGGAACTGGCGTCCTGGGGACCCCGCGGGTGGTGGATACGGATGACATGCGTGGGCACCCAGGGTCCCAAATTTTGTGCATACCCACCGCCTGCGGAGGCCCACGAAAATCGCTCCTCCAGGGATTTGCTATGTATAAACCCCCGCCTTGGCCCTGGCCCGGACGCCGCCCCGCGAGCGCGGCTGGGCGCCACGGGAGCGGGGGGGGAGGAGGAGGAGGAGGAGGAGGAGGAGGAGGAGGAGGAGGAGGAGGAGGAGGAGGAGGAGGACCAGGGTAAACCCACGAGTCATCAACGATGTTGGAATGAACTCTCCATCCAAGCTCCCTCTTCGTAGGCCCCGCCCCTACAACGGTTCATTTCCATTGAGGGAACTGCCTCGTTGGAAAACAACCGTTTGAAGACATTGAGGCATGCCAAATTATTGCTCTCGGGATTTCTACGCCACGGATCAACCTGACTGCTGCGTCCTGACGATCTGGAATCGTGCCAGAACGCCTTTTTGGGGACTTCAACACCGCGAATCAACATAATTGTTGCGCCCGCATAATCCTGAATCTTTTTTTTGATTTTTCCTGATTGTTTATATGAAAAAATCTGACACGCTGATCGTGAGAATCCGTGAAACTCTTGCGAATATTTAAAACAAATGTGCGCGGCGCGAAGGCGAGAGCCACATTCTGAAAACGACCCGCCCTCAATCCAGGAAACTCTTGCAATTGTGTGTAAACGCATGCGCGCGGCGCTAAGGCGAGAGCCACATTCTGAAAACGACCCGCCCTCAATCCGTGGAAATCTTGCAATGTTGTGTAGACGTATGTGCGCGGCGCCAAAGCGAGAGCCACTGTTGAAAACCACCCGCCCTCAATCCGCGAAACTCTTGTAATTTTGAATACCGAATGTGCGCGGCGCTAAGGCGAGAACCACATTCTGAAAACGACCCGCCCTCCATCTGTGAAACTGCTACCATTCTTTAGGCTTCAGAATTATAACTGGTGAGGAATAGGAAGCCGAACCCTATACACCGACGCTTTTCTGGCCCCGCACTGGAACTCGCACAAGAAAGCGGATCCTGGTGTATACGGGATCCTGGTGTATACATTGTTCGTTGGTTCCCCGGGAAAGCTGGGAAAAAAGTATACACCACACCACCCCGACGTCGCCCTCGACCCGCAAAAATTCCTGGGATTGCAAAACGGCCCGCCACTGGCAACGTAGATGCTCCGGTTTCCGAGGGAGGTCTCAGGCGAAACGCCCGGCCAGCCCTGAAAACTTGCCTCGGAGGGAGAAGTTGTATATACGCGCGCCCCGGGCCGCGGGCCGCCCTCCGGAGGGGCGGGCGGGGGCCTGCTGGAGGTTCATCAGCTCGTGGTTGCCGAGCAGGTTGACGACGGAGCCTCCCGCTCTCTGGGCCTCGCCTGCGGGTTGGCACCAGGTCTGCTGCAGAGTGTGCGTGGCCGTGTCCACAGGTAGGAGGACGACAAGGAGGAGGAGGAGGAGGAGGAGGAGGAGGAGGAGGAAGGGGAGGAGGAGGGAGGGGAAGGGGAGGAGGAGAGGAGGAGAGGAGGGGAAGGAGGGGGAGGAGGAGGAGGAGGGGAGGAGGAGGAGGAGAGGAGGAGGAGGAGGAGGAGGAGGAGGAGGAGGAGGAGGAGGGAGGAGAGGAGGAGGAGGCGAGGAGGAGGAGGAGGAGGAGGGGAGGAGGAGGAGGAGGAGGGGAGGGAGGAAGGAGGGGGAGGAGGAGGAGGAAGGGAGGAGGAGGAGTAGGAGGGAAAGGTGGGGGACCAGGGAGTACTTGGGCTGCTGCTAGTACGGTCAGCAGCTGCTGCATCCACTACTGATACTTCTAGCAGTGGGAGCCGCATCGATCGCCCTCTGGGCATCGCGCCAATACAGAGTCTCTCTGACTCGTTTGGGCATTCCCGAGGGGTGACGCCACTTGCCTTGCTGAAGGCGTCTTAGATTTGGAAGAGGAGGAGGAAGAGGAGGAGGAGGAGGAGGAGGAGGGGAGGAGGAGGGACCGCGAACACTGACTTCACCCGATTCGGCCTCGACCGCTGAGCAAATGAAAAGGTCGACAGGCAACCAGAAACACCGCGCAAGCCGACCTGCGATAGGCAAGCTCATTCACATGTGTACATAGACACGTGTATATGTATATGAATATGTGTACGTATAGATGTGCATGTGTGGGCATACCATCATACACGCGTACGTGCACATGCATGTAAACATGTCTGCGTGTGTGCAGGCATGCATGCAAACTGATATCTACATGCGTGTACAGATGTGCTCGTGCGCATGCTAACACGCATGTCTACATATACCTAGACATACGTACCTAAATACACACAACTAGACATACTAACACATACATATGCGCATACCTATACAAATACACGTACATAACCAAGTACATGTACACATACACGTTCCCATCCACGTACACATATGCCTATACATTTACATAAACCGGTGGAAATGCGTGTGCATACACATATCCGCCACCGTGCCTCGAAGCACGAAGTGGATTTCCTCAGGTCCTCCTGGGCCCCCTGTTCTCTGTACTCAAGACTGGGGGATTATAGTATTAAGGGGTGGGGCCCAAAAAAACTCGAGTTTTCTGGGCGTTCACGCGGATACTGGGCTGCCCCGCGTGACTTGTCCAGAGGCCAGGGGGCCCCAAGACGAGCCAAGAGTGCCCCAGAAAGCGCCCAAGAGTGTCCGAGAGGCCTCCAAGACAGCCCAAGAGCGCTCCAAGACGCTCACGATGGCCCCAAGATGGCCCAAGAGGCCCCAAAGCAGCCCCAAGAGCGCTCAAAGAGGACCCCCAAGAGGGCCCAAAGAGGCAAGCAAATCACTGACGTTCTTAATGTTTTCGATACGTGTCGCGTTGTCACGTTTTCGGGCTTCCGACGACCCCAGAGGTCCCCAGGACCGCCCCCAAACGGCCCAAGAGGCCCCCAAGAGCGCCCAAAGAAGGTCCAAGACGGCCCCAGAACGGACCAAGGGGCGCCAAAGATCGCCGCTCAGGAGGACCCTAAGACGGACCCAAGAGGGGCCCAACAGTGGGAACACGAACCGTGAATTCGAGCCTTCCGCCCCAAGAATCTCACAGGAGGCCCCAAGAGGCACACAAGAGAGCCCAAGAGGACCCCTAGAGGCCCCACGAGGCCCCCAAGAGGCCCGAAAAGAGGCCCAAAAAGAGGCCCCAGGAGGCCCCCAAACGGCCCCTAAGAGGCCTCCAAGATGCCCCCGAGAGGCCAGCCACGATATCCAAACGAACATCCAAGAGGCCTCTAACCCACAACCAAGGCACGATGGCGGGATGGGCAGAAGGCCACTAGATCACTAGATACGCATCGCGCACCGAACGCAACGAGAGCAACGGACACACTCGGCTGTAGCCTGGGGCAATGGCCAAATTGCACCAGTGCCATCTCGGAGACTTCATACGGCTGCACGTGCTGGCCGTGCACTTGCACGCGCCCGGCACGCCAGGGGGGGGAGAGGGGGTGCTGGATCTTCGCATGTCTATATATATATATGTGTAAAAATAATCATCTGGAACGCTTACTAGAGACACGCGCGCTTCGCGCACGCTCGCATCCAGGGTATTCCGAAGCCGATCCTCGGAACCCTCCAGGACGCCTTGAATTCCAGCTGCTCGTGACGGGCGTTGTTTCGAGCTGGATATGTCGTCGTCCGCCTTCGCTGACGCCTTCTCCTCCCCTCCTCCACCTCCTGTGTCAAGAGGAGCTCCCCAAGATTCTGAGGTCAACCCTCGGACCCTTTGCAAACACTCGGCATGCGGTGAGTGCACTGCAACTTTCTCCGTCTCCTCTGACCGAGCCTTTCCTGGGTGGGCCCCGAGACCCCTCCGGTGCCTGTAGACTTGCAGCTGCACACAAGAAGAAGCGCAAGCGCAGCTGCGCATCCTCCTCATTCTCGATTTCGTCGTCTGCTCTCCCCTGGCACCCTTCCTCCTGGTTCTGAGAGGGTGCCTTGCGCGTTCCCTTCTGGACCGCGAGAAGTGGACTCACACCTCACGGGTGAAGTGCAGCTGCAGGTATGCATGGTTCCCCCTCCTCCTCCTCCTCCTCCTCCTCCTCCTCCTCCTCCTCCTCCTCCTCCTCCTCCTCCTCCTCCTCCTGCTCCTCCTCCTCCTCCTGCTCCTCCTCCTCCTCCTCCTCCTCCTCCCCATCCTCCTCTTGCGGATCGACCAGGCTCGGGAGATGGCGAGCAGAGGTGAGGTCGGGAACTCTGATCGTGGTCTTTTCGCCACATGCTTTGTGAACGACGTCGGACCTCGGGGATCGAATCATGGCCTGCCAGTCGGAAGAAGAGCTCGTAGATCTTCTTGCCGTCGCTGCCCCGGTCGACGATGTCTCCCGTCTGCACTAGGGTCACGTTGCGGCCTGTCCACTCCAGAGTGCCTGCCATCGGCAACGGCGCGGGGCAACTCGATGCTTTACGGAGGAATGAACTCAGGCACTGCGCAGCGCACAAAGCCACATGGTGTGGCCGCAAGCTCGCCAGATGCGGTCACTGTGAACCCTCGAACGTAAGAGGAGGGCAAGATGAGGATGAGTTCGGATGACGATAAGATAAGAGTATCTGAGAGCTGGTGTCTGGAGGATGAATCGAGCGCCGCGGCCAATTCAGAGCGCTGCGGAAAGCTCTGAGTGTGTTCCGGATCGCCCTGGAGGGATGATTTACACCCTAGACCTGCCCGAGAATGGGCTACTAAAGGTGAATTGCATCTAGCGTATATCCTAATCGCAGGTCGACCAGATCGACTGCATGACCGAATGGATCGAACCCAGCCCTCTGCGAGGAAGGGGAGTAGCCCCTTGAAATCGGAAGCCGTACAGAACCAAGAGCACTACATCGCACAACATTCCTGACCAAACGTCCCTGCCACATCTCAGGGCGTCCTTTTCGAGCCAGGCTGATCCGTCGGTGCACAGGGGGCCCGAAACGGGCCCAACCCTCCGACGTCATGATTTCACAATACGGGGTCATCGGAGCCGAGCTGCCGACCACCTCGCTGGGGCCAGCTTCTCACCCCGTCGTGTCTTGACTGGCCCTGGGCCCGCAAAGTGCCCTCCAGACGCCGACGCTCGTGAAGGGGCACTCGTCCTGATTGACTCAGGACGTTGGAGGTCTGGGAAGGGAGCGAACAAAAACCGCCGTCGTGAGTTCCTGCGACGCCCAGGCTCGGGGATGGAGTCGGTCGGAGCTACGAGCAGAGGCATCTCCCCCCCCACCTCCCTCCCCCATCCTCCCCCTCCACCCCTTTGACCCTCCCTGCACCCCCTCCTCCCACATCTCCCCCCAAGACATCAGAGGCTGTGATCTCTTCCATCCGTAGGTCCCCAGATCTCTCACGACCCCTTCCCTGAGAACTGGCTCGTCCCGACCGAGTGGCTGCTTCACGGACCCTGGGCCCAGGAACCCGCTCCAGGCACAGCAGAACGGAACAGCACTCCACCCTGCCTCGTGTGGAGAGGTGGGAGGTCAGGGCCAGGGTGCGGTTACGTCGCCTCCGTCCCCTGCTGTCCACAAACCAAACTGAGGTTGAAACGAACAACAAAAATGGTCAGGGTCAGGGTCAAGGGTGCAGCACGGGCTGGAGAGAGCCCTTGCGCGGGCAGCTGCGCGCGTGGCCACTCTCTCGCGCGCGCGCCGAGAGAGGCGCTGGAGGCCTCGGCCCAGTCCGCTCCCCGACCTCTCCAGGCGTCCGCTTCGACCAGCACCTCGGAGCGGATCCAGCCGTGGCCACGAGGGCGTCCGAGGAGCAAGAAGGCGCAAACCATCGAGACGGCGGAGATCAGAACATGCGCATCACCATCAGCCCCCGCCAAGCTCACCCTGGGCCCCGGCTGGACCCGTGTCAAACGCGGGCCGTCTTGTGATGGCCCGTGGGGGCCGAAACCAGCAGCCCCAGCGGGAGAAACGGGCAGAAGCCCACAGTTGTGTTTTCTCACACCGCCCGAGGATCCCCAGGCCCCCCTTGCGCCGTGAAAAAACATACGGCGGAAGGTCTTTGCTTACAGTGAGGGCGCGGCCGCAAGAAACCCTCGCAAGAAACCCAACCCTGAAAACCCGCGCGCGAGGTGCGCCTGAGGGGAATCCAGGAGCGCCCTGAACGCAGCAGCTTCTTCAACGGCTACGGGAAGTCACCGCGCAGCGGGCGGAGCGAAGAAACCCAGGATACCCTGACAAAAAGCACATGGTTTCTTGATTCGCGCCCCCACTGTATTCTCCGAGCCGTCCAAAACCGGCTCGGGACGATCAAATCGGCACCGGGAACGGGTCGGGGAAAAAGAAAAAACCTCCGAAACACGAGGCCGAGAGAGTCAGCTGTTTGAGGCGTCCGTGGGACCCGAGGCGAGACCGAAAAACCACCGAAGAAGCAACGGTGTCGCTCCACTTTTTTGTTGCTCCGCGTCCTCTCTGGATGCTCACGGCTGGTATAATGAGCTCGGTCTGTGGGGGCTTCGTGTGACTTCATGCTGCGGGGCGAGAGCGAATGCACACACTGGTCGCTACAGCGTATTGTTAAACATCAGGCTACCGACTGCCGAAGCCAGAGTGTTCTACAGCATGCGAGCACGCGCTGCAGAGCGTCAATCCAGACAACCGTTGAGAAAGAAGCGCGGTATCGCTCCACGTTTGAAGTCTCGAGTTTACAGGCGGCGTTGGGCCCAAGGGGCGTCCAGGGGGAGTCGATTTGGGGCACCAACAAGGGGACCCGAAGGGGGGCCCTGCGGGGCATGGGCTTTCCTAGAGGCCTCCTGGATGGGGTCCTAGCAGATGGGATGGATCGGAGGATCGCGCCGCATCGCCGACGTCGACGGTGTATCGGCGCCGTCGGCGTGGAGAAAACCTGGATACTCTGGATTTCAGAATAGACAGGAAGGGGTCTGATTTAATCTGAGCTGTCTTGAAGGGTTCTGGGGGGTCTGTGCCAAAGGCCGCTCTTTCGCGGCTGGTAGGGGGATCCACCACTTTCCCGTGGCCGAAAGCAGACAAGCGCGTTCCACTACTCGCAAGAGCTGTGCGCGAATGGCCTGGATCCGCCGCGGGGAACTTACAAGGAACCACAGCGAGGCAAACGGATGCATGCCGCACACTCACGAGCAGGCACTATGCGAGCAGTGGAGCGCGCTCGGTGAGAGAGTGGGCCCCAGAGCGGGCCCCGAAAGGGGGGCCCCGAAGGCGCGCGGAGGGGGCGCACTCCTCCGCCCCCGCCCCCCGATTGGCAAAGAAGCGACGGGCCTCGAAGGGGGGACCCGGCGGGGCACGGGGTTTCGCTCCTCCTCCTCATCCTCCTCCTCGTCCTCCTCGTCCTCCTCGTCCTCCTCATCCATCTCGCCCGTCGTCCTCCTCCTCCTCCTCCACCTCCACCTCCTCATCCTCCTCCAATCCTCCTCCTCCTCCTCATCCTCGTCCATCTCGCTCCTCCTCATCATCAACAGCAGCAGCATCATCAGCAGCATTAGCATCAGCATCAGCATCACCAGCATAATCATCATCATGCATCATGCAACATGTATCATCAATATCATCAGCAGCAGCATCATCATCTTCGTGCAACACGCTTCGTGCATCATCAGCATCATCATCATCATCATCATCATCATCAGCATCATCAACATCAACATCATCAACATCATCATCAACATCAACAGCATCAACATCATCATCAGCATCATCATCATCGTCATCATCATCATCATCATCATCATCGTCATCATCATCATCATCATCATCATCATCATCATCATCAATATCATCATCATCATCATCATCATCATCATCATCAGCATCATCAGCATCATCATCATCATCATCATCATCATCATCATCATCATCATCATCATCATCATCATCATCATCATCATCCCTGTCCTCCTCCTCCTCGTCCTCCTCCTCCTTCACCCAGAGCCGCGAGGCAGACGGGCGCCTGGGTCGACGAGACCCGCGGCCGACAGCACCTCGGGCGGACGCTCGGGTCTTCGGTCGGCGGGCACGGCAGGGGAAAGAACCTCAAACCCAGACATCCGACGCCCTGAAAAAATGTCAGGTCGTCGTTGTTCGTCGTGTTCGGCCTTGTTTGATCGGTCGTCGATAACCCAGGTTACCCGTTTCCTGGTGGGGCGGGGGGAGGGGGCGGTAGTGCCGGGCGACCACCCAACCTTTCTGCGTTGGGCAGCCCTACGCATGCCCGCGCGCACCAGCATTGCGCACCCCCTTCGGACCTGCGCGACGGACACGGTCGGGCTATCCCGGGGGGGGGAAAAGGAGGGGGCGGGCGGGCCCGCTGACCTGAGCGACTGCCGGACTCCAGAAAAAAGTCTCCAGATACCCCGGAAGCCGAGACACCCGACGCCCTGAACAATGTCAAGACGGCGTGTCTTCGTCGCTCTCGGCTTCGGGGGGTGGGAGCAGGGTCTTCAGGCCCTGGGCAAAAAAAAACGGCCCGGGGCGGGAAGCTGGCCCCAGGAAGGTGTTGGGGACCTCCAGGGACTTCTGCCACTGCCTCTTGCTCCTGCTCCTCCTCCTCCTCCTCCTCCTCCTCCTCCTCCTCCTCCTCCTCCTCCTCCTCCTCCTCCGACTCCTCTCCTCCTCCTGCTCTGCTGCTCCTCCTCCTCCTCTCCTCCTCCTCCTCCTCCTCTCCTCCTCCTCCTCCTCCTCGTGCACCTCCTCCTCCTCCTCCTCCTCCTCCTCCTCCTCCTCCTCCTCCTTCTCCTCCTCCTCCGTCCTCCTCCCCAAGTCGCCCTCCAGCCTCCCCCAGGATGTTGGGACCTCCAGCGGCCCATGTCCGGGAGCACGGGACGAAGCCTATGTCGCCCTGACCCCGTCCGAGGATTGGGTAAGGGTCTAGGGTCGAAGGTAGCTAGAATTATGTTGCTCCCATCGTATTTCAGGACCACATCTCAGAAATTCGCTGGCCCAACGGGCCAGAGGCGTGCTAAGATCTCCGGTAACTGGTTAACAATATTCTAGTTCGCGCGCGCGGGGCGGCCCCTGGGAATGCCCCGGCCAAAAGTACCCCGCCCGCCGGCTGGCCACCCTTTGTCAGAAATGGTTTTCCTCCTGGGTGGGGTCTCTGAGGCCGCCCAGAGCGCGCCAAGAGGAACCCAAGAGGCCCCCAAGACTGCCCAAAAGGCCCCCGAGACGCCCAAAGAGCCTTCCAAGACGCCGAAGATGACCACAAGACGGCCCAAGAGGCCTCCAAGTGGCCTCCCAGAGGCCTCACAAGAGGGCCCCGAGAGGCCAAAATCATAAATTTTACTATGGTTTTGGACGGAGTTTGGCCTAGCCCAAGAGGCGCTCAAGACGGCCCAAGAAAGCACCAAAACGGCCCCAAGAGGGGCCCAAGAGGGGGACCACGAACCGAAAACTCAGCCTTCCGCCCCAAGAGGGCCCCAGGAGGCCCCGAGAGGCCCCAAGATGCCGCCAAGAGGCCCCCCCAAGAGGCCCCAGGAGGCCTTCAGGAGGCCCAAAAGAGGCCCCAGAAGGCTTCAAAAATGCCTCCCAGGCGCCCCCGAACGGCTTCTCAAAAGACCCCAAGAGGCCTCCCAAAGAAGCATCTTGACGACGACCCTTTTTGGCCCCAAGAGCAACACAAGATGCCAACGAGAGGCTTCCTCCTCCGCCCCCTCCTCCTCTGCCTCCTCCTCCTCCTCCTAATTATCTTCATCCTCCTCCTCTCCTTCTCATCCTCTCCTCCTCCTCCCCTCCCCTTCCCCATCCTCATCTTCCTCCTCCTCGGCGGCGCCAATGGCCCCGAGCCCACGGCGAAGCAATAGCGATCATGCAATATGGGCCGGCGGAATGAGCGAAGCGATTGAATAATTTCGAGCACCCGGAAAAGTGTCGAAAGAGTGTCGAAAGAGTGTCGAAAGAGTGTCGAAACAGTGTCTCCCAGGGCCCGGCACGTGAAAACCCTCGAGTTTGGGGGTACTTTTCTGGCGTTCGAAATTCTTTCTCGTGATCAAGGCTAAAGTAGGTTGGAACATCATCAAGCTAGAGTGGAGGTCCAGAGGACCACAAAGGGCAGAAGCACATAACAATCCTCGACCTGCTGCCCTCGGTGTCCTATCCCCTGACCACTCGACACAGACCCAGGGACTCGCTTGTGTACTTCACCTGCTTGGTGGCCCAGGGGCCTGGCAAAGGGCTCCAGAGGGCAAGATGACAGAGCCAGGTGCCAGCTCCTCCTCCTCAAATCGGACTTCGGACCCCTCCAGAGGGCGCTCGGGCCAGGCATTCGAGGGGAATCCGGCCGGGGCGACGAGGGCGCCCCGGGAAGACCGAAGGACCAAACACGGCCAGGCATCCATCCGAGGTCCTCCTCCGTTAGTTTTCCTCCTTTTTGTTTCGGGAGTTGCTAAAGGTGCCCCGTGGCCCAAGGTGCCCCCAGCCTTTCGTTCCGTTTTGGTGCCCCTGGGCCCCCTGGGCCTCGCGAGGGGTGCTCTGGAGGCCTTAGGGGCCTCCTTGGAACAAGGGCACTTCTGGCAACACCCGAGTGTTCCTCATGAATGCCCTTCCTCGTCGCACCGTGAGGGCGGGCCTGGCGTTTCACCTGAGGCGTCCTCATCATCGCTCATGATCCTGATGCCTGAAGCTTCCAATTGCTACCAGGTATAAAGGGCGGGTCGATCTCAACATGTGGCTCTCGCCTCAGCGCCGCGCACATTCGCAATAACAGCATCCAGCCCTTCCAAAGGAAAGAGGTGGGTCGTATTCAAAACGAGGTTCTTTTCTTAGCGCCGCGTTCTTTCGTCTTACGAAAATCTCAACTGCTACAAGCATGGATGAAAGTGGGCTTCAGCATGCGAATAACACTTTCCTGCCAAGCGCTTTCGACTCATTCCAACCGCTACAAAAATGCAAAACGGTTGCAAAAGTGAGCTTGAAGCGTTTTGCCTCGTAGAGCTCTCCGGCATCGATGAGCTAGAGGAATTCCAGCGCGGGACGGAGCTAGTTGGACTACCCGGCCCGGGCGGACAATGTGGTGACCTGGGGTCGGTGTTTTCAAGAATGTGAGAAATTTGACATTTCGTTTTGGGAGAAACGATTTTAATTCCCTGTAATGGATTATTGCGCGCTCAGTAGTGGAAGTCTGAGGGCTGTAGCTGCAGCACAGCTCTTGAAGATTCGGAGGGACCATCGGCCGTCGGGATGCATTTTCCCAGATGATCATGGCTTCGCGAATTTAACGAAAGGAGGAAGCGAACTACACTGCTCAAGTATCATCTGCACCTGTAGTAGATTATGACGCGCTTCCCTGTCGAATTCTGAGGTCTCTAGCCACAGTACTACTATCAGAACACCTGGCGGACATAACTTCGTTCAAAACCAAAAAAAAAACTTCGAGCTTAAAGCTGGTATTCAAGGGCTTTCTCGTCGTATTCTGAGCCTCTTCTCAAGTGTGAACGCTCTACGAAGGCCCCGGCGGTAACATGGTTGACGGTTCACCGCCGGCTCCCAGTTTCAAGTACGACATGGATATACACTTGCGCAGCAGCTGAACGGGTGGAGGACGGCTCCCTTTCGAAACAAGATCACCACAAGCGCTACACACGTCCCAAACATGATGGCCACAGGCCCTAAAATGTAGAACAGCTGCACAGACTGAGGGCGCTGCCTTTCCGAAAGGCGGTTCTCGCTGGAGACGTCCGAAAGGTTGACCATCCATACAACCCCGCTCAACTGCTACACGGGGGCGGTTCCTTCTCCAAACGGGGCTCTCGCTGAACACGTCCTTCAACTTCTAGGAGTCGCGGTCAAACGTGTATACACACATACACTCACTTGTTATCTCTCCCTCTCTATCCGTCTCTCTCTCTCTCTCTCTCTCTCTCCCTGTTTCTCTTTCTCTCTCTCTCTCTCTCTCTCTCTCTCTCTCTCTCTCTCTCTTTCTCTCCATGTGTTTATGTGTACTAGAACCACGCGCGCGCGCTTCGCGCGCTTAGGTTCTAGCAAGCGCAGGCGCTTGACAACACCACGGCTGCGCGCATTGACAAAGTCACGGATGCACGAATGCACGCACCGACGAGTGGCTTCAGCATGGTTTGAAAAAATCAACATGAGCCTGGCCCCAGCAAAGAAGGGTCTCTTGTGCGCCGCCGGGGGTTAGTCCAGGGTCTCGTTGGGTGTTTGCGGCCCATCTCACTGTGGAGCTCACGCTGTACAAGATGATTACTCGATCAAGCGAGGCCAAATGTGTGGGGGAGCGGGCAAGGAGGGACTGAGGGGAGGGGGCGACAGAGAGGAGGGAAGATAAAGAATGGAACCGATGCCCCAGCGTCCGCTTGTGCCAGGAACGAATGCGCCGGATGGCATGACCCACTGGGAGACTTTTCGGAGGAAAGGGGAGAGGAGAAGGAGGGCGGTTCCAGGAGAGGCCCTGGGAGGGTGCCAAGACGGCCTTGAACGACTACAGCAGGGCGCGACCTCAAGTCACGCGAGAGCTTCCAAGCGTGTCTTGTTTGTGGACCCCCTTGGGGCCTTCCTCCGGGCACCTGGCCTCCGGGGGGCCGTTTTGGGGCATCTTGGGGCCTCTTTGGGGTCTCTGATGGGGGCATTTTTAAGCCTCTTGGGGCCTCTTGGTGGCCTCTTGGGGGCCTACTGGGGCGGAAATCTCCATTGTCGGTTCGTGCTCCCCCTCTTCGGCACCTCTTGGGGCCGTCTTGAAGCCCTCTTGGGCCGTCTTGGGCGCCTCTTGGACCGTTTGGGCGCCCTCTTGGGCTGTCTTGGGGGCCTCTCGGGGGCCTTTTGGGCCGTCTTGGGGCGATGTTCGAAGCTTCCTCGGCAATCTTGGAAGGTCAGAAGCCCGAAAACGCGGGAAAGCAAAAAACATTGAAAAACAAAATGAAAATCTTTGATTTTAGCCTCTTGGGGCTCTCTTGGAAAGCCTCTCGGAGCGCCCCTGGGGCTTCTTGGGGGCCCCTTGGGCCTTGATGGGGCTATCTTGAGAGTCTTGGCC